TGAAAGCGCTGTTGAGCTCATGTCCTACCTGTGGGCACCTGGCTGGGAGCTCTGAGAACAGCATGTTGGACCAGGCGGGTCTTTGATCTGATGCAGCCGGGCTGCTCTTGGGTCCTTACGAATGTTGGCATATTGATCAGTTATTTGTATGCGTCTTGGTCAGTGAATCTATTAGAGGGTTTCCCCATAGTCCTGCTTTCCAGTGCTGCATTCTGAATAATGGATCGCAGGGGTTTCCATCCAGCTGTGTGTTGCAGGTTGCCAACCCTTCCAAAAACGTTTCTGCTCCCTCGTAGCTGCAGCACCTTCAGTGTTAGCACACAGAAGGGTCCTTCACAGCCTCTCAGCATCCCTGGCCCTCCGAAGCAACATCGACCTAGCTGTGTACGCCATTATGGCTACATGGCATTTATAGTATCAATTATGGATGACTGAAATGAAGTGTATTTTAACAGCAGATAGCTGAAAAGCCTTGCAGTGTATTCCTAATCTGGTGGTATTGCCTTGAGCTACACTGAGGCTTCTTTTTAAACTCAGACATTATCAGAAAGCACACCTCTGACTGCAGGCATTTAAAGATCAACAGAGGCCAAAAAAGCTTTTAAAGAGCCAATGAAACCAGGAAGGCATCCATGTTCCCTTTCAGTGTCAAGTTTGATTGCCGTCTTAGGAGTGCAGCTATTTTCAGGTACCAAGCGCTTAGTGGTTTGGGCCTTGTTGGGTGGAGAAAATGTGCCGCGGAAAACATCTGTTCCTTTCACCTGCAAACCACAATGTGCTGTGAAAAAGGCAAGGCTGCAGCCACAGAAGCCCAGGGGGCCGTGGAGGATCTGGCTCAAAGGAATGAGCATAAATTTGTCCTCCCTCCCCTCCGCCCTCCTCCTGGAACACAGTATCAAAAAGAGCACTTAAAAGGAGAGGATGCTTTTAAAGCATGTGATATGCCTCAAAGTGGGCAGATCAAGTTGCTTTTCTGCTTGGGTGTTCTTGCACTTAAAAAAACCACGTCGTTTTCATATCTCCACAGCAATGTTTTTCATCTCAGCATCATGCAGTATCTCTCAGCATCTTACATTTATGTTGCTGAAAAATTGTAGAATTAACTCTGTTTTCCTACTGGAAAATAATGTTTTTCAAGGAAACTAAAGGGCTAATCTCTCCAAAAACTGCCCTCTGCAAAGGTTCCACAGAAAAGAGAAAAAGTTGGCTTAGAAATCCAAATTCCATGAAGCTTTGCATCTCCTCCCATTCAATATATGGGGAAATCAAAACATCTGTAACTTTTCATTTTCATAGAATTGGATGACATTTGCAGGCATTGTAGGCCTCCTGAATGAAGAAGGCCTGCCAAATGATAAGGGAACAGATGTGTATTTGTGCTGGTCACCGTTTCCATTTTGATTCCCATGCCCCTCCAAAAAAGGAATCATCTATAACTTGTTTTCTTTTTGGCAGAACTGGATTAAGCTTGCAGGGAGCCCCTTAGAAGAGCTTGAACGCTGCCAAATGGAAGGATGGCTGTGGCTATAAGGGCAATCTTTACAGTTTGGCTGTCATTAAAAAGGGATTCACTTAATTTGTAGGCAATTTATATGGATGTAGCATAGAAGAGAGAGGTGCCCCTAGGGAAACAGCCAAATTACAGAGAAATAGGATCAGGGTTTCTTTTTTTCCAATTTTTATTTTCAAAGTTTTTTACACATGCACACAGGTTTACATTAAACCATAATCCATATCAGTACATTTATGGGGTTCCCTGAACCCCCGGACTTCCCCCCCCCTTGGCTTCCAGAATTTAACTTCCTTTTTTACTGCTTCTGATTACATTTATCTAAATTATTACACTTCAATTTTATCCTTTGTTGTTTTAAATTATAAGTGCTATGTCAATCCTGCTAACATCTTTAAATGTTTACAGTGTTATTTAATATATTCTACAAAGTTATGCCATTTTTTGTTGAATTTCTTATCCTCTTGGTGCCTGATCTTCCCGGTCAGCCTTGCCATCTCCGCCTAGTCCATCATCTTCATTATCCATTCTTCTTTCAATGAGGCTCTTTCTTCTTTCCATCCCTGGGCAAATAACATTCTTGCTGCTGTCGTCGCATACATTAACAGTAGTTGCCTTCGGTAATTCTTCTATTATACCTAATAAGAAAGCCTCTGTTTTTTAAACAAAAATTATTTTAAACTTTTCCCCCAGATCATTATAAATCATTTTCCAGAAGGCCTTTGCTATTTTACAAGTCCACCACATATGATGGAATGTACCCTCTTTAGCTTTAGATTTACGCTTCCAACATTTGTTGGTCGAATTCTTATACATTTTCACTAGTCTTGTAGGAGTCAAATACCATTGGTACATCATTTCCATATAATTCTCCTTTAACATACAGCAGGCTGTAAATTTTAAATCCTCATTTCACAACTTCTTCCATGAAGCAAGTTGTATATTATATCCCACATCTTTTGCCCAATGTATCATTACAGATTTTACTTCCTCATCTTTTGTTTCCCATTCCAGCAAATTTTTACATTTTCAACAGAACCTTATCGTTGTTTCCCAACAGTTTTTTCTGTAACCTCGAAAAATTCTTTACCAAAACCGTCTCCTTTATCCACCCTAAAGATGTCATTTACCGTATTTTTCCATGTATAAGACGATGCTTTTGGCTAAAAAAAAATAGGCAAAAATTCGGTGTCATCTTAGACACAGATAGTGAGTGCAGAGGGGGCGTGTGTGATTTAAAAAAGCTAAACAACTTAATTTCGGGTTTAAAAAAATAGGGGTCGTCTTATACATGGGGGCGTCTTATACACAGAAAAATACAGTGATTGGTGATATTGTAGCCAATCAGTTAGCAGATGTCTTATGTCTTCAAACTTGGTAAATTTCAATTGGTTTTCCTCCTTGGTTAACAGCTCTATATACGTTGCTCATTCTTTTTCCACATTTATTTTTTTGACTAACAACGTTTCTAATGGTGATAACCACCATGGGGTTTTATTCCCTAATAAGTTATTATATTTTTCTCAAACAGCATAAATTGATTTTCTAACAATGGTTTAGAAATCCTTATGAACTTTCGATTTTCCATACCAGAAATATGCATGCCACCCAAATCTATTAGCATGGCCTTCCAGATCTAAAATAATCTGGATTCCTCAAAGTCATCCATTCTCATAGCCAGCAAAGACAAGGCATCTCAATATAATTTTAAATCCAGAAGGGCGAATCCACCTCTTTCTTCAGCATCTGTTAGTAACTTATACTTAATCCTAGACTTCTTCCCCTGCCAAATAAATTTAGATAGATCTCTTTGCCATTGTTTGAAGTGTCCTGTTCCGTTGACTATCGGTATAGATTGAAATAAAAATAACATTCTTGGCAAGACATTCATTTTTATTACCGAGATTCTTCCCCATAACGATAATATCATTCTTCCCTATATTTCCATATATATTTCTCTTAATATCATTCCAAACCTTTATATAATTATCTTTAAAGATGTTTATATTTTTTGTTGTCAACCATACCCCTAGATATTTCACCTTCTTTTCTATCCCCAGCTCTGTTATCTGTCTCAACTAATTTTTCTTCTGTTCTGTCATATTTTTTACCACCAGTGAGGATCAGGGTTTCTTGTGCTGGGCACCTTTGAAGTTGATAGATAGAGAGTAGGGCTGGGCAATGTTAGGCTTTCAACATTGCGATGTATCACCAGCCAAACGTTGCAAGGTTGAAATGAGCTGCATTGGCCCCGTGAGGCGCAGGTGAAGAAATTGCTGCAGCTCTCGCCATGGCAGCTGAGGCGCTTTCACCCCAGCGCCTTGGGGGGTGGGGCCAGTGCAGCTGCTCAGCTGGGGGGCAGAAATTCTCCCACTCCCCCAGCTGAGCGAGCCCAATGTCTTCATTGAGGGGCAGGCAGCCACGCACCCCTGAACAGAGGTTTAAAGGAGCCCCCACTCCAGCTCGCTCAAGCCATAGGCAAAGTCAGGGCTCTGTTACACTTGAGGAAGCCCTGTGAAGACTCCGTTGGCAGGGGTCCCTCAGTCTTTGGGGAGTTGGGGGGCAAGCAAGCTGCCTCTGTAGCTTGTTTTTCCCTTGCTCGCTGGGCACCGGAGGCAGAGGGACTCAGCAGTTTCACCCACAATATACCACCAGGTGAAACTGCCATCACAGCCTGGCCCTCATACCAGTATCGATGCATCACCCAGGCCTAATAGGGAAAATTAAAAGGGATTTGCTTCCTTCCCTGTGGGTTTGGGAGGTGATGAATTTGTTATGAAAATGGCACATATTGGACGGGTGCCCCTGGGAAAGTAACCAGCATAATTTCAGAAGTGTGGGTGTAGGAGCTGGGGTGCCATGATGAATGAAGAGCTACGCTTGTATTCTGCTCACTTGGCACCAAAAATCGTGGCCCAGAAGCAGAAGGATTTGTGTGTTCGGCATTTTCCAAGGCAGCAGTACTAGCACAACTAGCAGAGAGAACGGAACAGACAGGAGCAAGGTGGTGCATTGTGTCAGTTCAACATCCCTTCTTCAAAACACAGTGATTGTAGAAGTCTGATAAAACATTCCCTCTGATTTGACCTGTCAATCATGCAAATACTCCCCCTCACGCACTGTTTTATTTTCCTCCTTTGTCAAGAAATATTGCTTTGAAGCTGTTTCTCTCTTACACATCTTGCATGGAAGTAATCCTTGTAGTCGAATATATGCTCACCACCATGTTTGGGACAAGTACTCTTTCGTGTCATATTTCACACATGATTTGTGCCTTTCTGCTCTCTTTTTTTTCTTTTTCTTTTGGATAACCAAGTATAGCCCTCAAACATCACATGAGGAACTCACAATTTTGTGTTTTGAAAATGCTGTGTGAAATAGGATTCTGTGTTTCTTCCCATAATGGCATTATGGGACCATGTGCTGGAGAACTTAATCTAGTACATGATTGGAATATTTCTGTTGACATTTCCCCCATTTACATTCACAGAGACCATGGTCAAAGACGATATGAACAACTACATCAGTCAGTACTACAATGAGCCCAGTAGTGGTAAGTTTGAATTCTAGAAACTAAAGAGGCTTGCTGCCGTTTCTCAGCAAGTGAGCCAGAGTCAGGCCACTGGTCTGTCTGGTTCAGCATTGCTGACGCTGAGAGGTTGGGGGCTCTCCGGGATTTCAGCCTCTCCCAGGGCTTGCTCAGTCAGACTTGCTGCATGCAGAGCAGATGTCCCACCACTGTGATGTGGTTACTGATGCTGAAGCAGGTTTTGAACCTGCGCAGGCTTCAGGTGAAGAAGGCTCCAGTGAGAGGCTTAATTCTAAAACTAGAATCCGTGTCCCTTGAGCTGACCTCAGAAGGGCATCACCTGACTTCACCACACAGAATGAGGCAGGTTATAGTAGCCAAGGGAAAGCGTTCCACATGTTGGCTTCCTACAGTGGTACCTCAGAAGTCGAACAGAATCCATTCCAGAAGTCCGTTCAACTTCCAAAACGTTCGGAAATTCTGATTCCAAAGAATGTTCACAAACCAGAACACTCACTTCTGGGTTTGTGGCGTTCAGGAGCTAAAGCGTTCGACTTGCAAGGCGTCTGCAACCCAAAGTAGGGCTGTATTCTGTGACTGGCCCCTGGAAACTGCAAAGTGCTCTTCTTTAAGCCCTGCTGCCAAATCTATTTCTCCTTCTCCTCCCTTCCGGTAGAAACATTCATGTCTGCCCATATTGGGAATGGGAATATGTTGATCAGCTCCCATCAGCCTCAGTCAATATGGCCAGTGGTCAGGGATGGTGGGAATTGGAGTCCTATCTAGTACAGTGCCGCTGAGCAAGCTGTCTGATTCCAGCAGATCTTGCAACCAACTTCACCTAACTGCCCACCCACCTTTCTGTCTAGCAGCTTGGAAGAACACAAGCCCTGTTAAAATCTGCACCTCCCTGTGCAATCCACTCTGTAGTATTGGCATAGGAAGGTTTCATGCCATGTCGAACCTTTCATCTTCCAGCACATCCTTACGGATGCCCTTTAAACATCTGGTAGCAATTATTATTCAAGGGCTTCAATATTACTGATTTTTTTGTTTTTATATTGTTGCAAACTGCTGTGATATACATTTATGATAAAGCATTATATAAATATTTTTATATATAAAGTAATTAATTAAATAATTAAAGCTTCATTTTGGTGACTGCTGGCCATTAGTAGTTTCTTACTCATTGTTTGTGAATATATTGGGGGGGGGGCGGGATATGCAGCAACATGATTCCATACCCAGACGTGCAAGTCTGTTCTCCATGGAAATCAGTGGAGGCAGTCTAGTTCTGATTCCTTTCCATGGGACTTGCAAGGGAAACTTCCTAGTGTGTCGGAAGCTGCCTTACACTTAGTCAGACTATTGGTCCCTGTAGCTCCCTCTTGTGTGTCCTGACTAGCAGCCACTCGCTAGGGTTCAAGACTGAGGACACTTACAACTCTCCTTGGAGATGACAGGATTTGAATCCAAGACCTTCTGCATGCGGAGCAGATGCTCTACCAGTGAACTATGATCCTTCCAGCTTGTTTCTGCCATGGGCTTCTGGGAGCCTTTTTAGGCTGGACAGCAGGAAGCCTCCCTTGGAAGCCAACAGTAATGTTTTAAGATTCAGGTGTACTTTGAGGTCTAAATGTTTTATTTTTCAAAATGCAGCACCTCAAATGGAAACGAGGGAAAGCAGCTCCCCCGTGGGGAAGAACCTGGTGATGGGGTCACGCGGATGTCCTTTTAAAGGGGTTAAGCTGAATGAGTGAAGGATAAAATAATTTGACACTAGAGAAGACCAATCTTAGTCTAGTGGTCACTGGGTCATACTTGAAATGGATTTCATTCTGAAACTGCCGCACCACTTCATGCACACATAACCCTTTATTCATGTTATTAAAAAGTAGAAAGCATATATTCGAAACAGCTTTCCTGATTTGTGGAGCGGGAGTTGGGTGGAACTCCATTTTTAAAAAGCAGAATTTTTAATTTGCAAATTAACATCATAAATACATTTTATTTTATCCTAAATAATAATATATTTTAACAGGCACCTGCATCTATATCTCACAAATGCTGGGCACGGGTGCAAGCTGCAGAAAAGTTGAGGCGTCTTTTGTGTCTTTTCATTATACCTGGTATCGGATGGAAGGAACCTGTAAATCTTGCAACCCAAACCCTCAGATTCTGTTAACTGTGTAAATTCAGAAAGTAAGAGGCAGCCCTCGCAGTCACACTCGCCTCTTTGCCAGGACTTTGCTGATCCAGAAATTCCCCCCAGGTCTGCCTTTCCCTGAGGCCTCCAGGGGAGGCTCTTGTGCTGCGGTCCTGCCTGTGGCTCCGCCTGAGAAGAGGAGGCGGGACTCCCTGCGCCAGTGGCCTGGATCCAGCCAGGATTTCAGCCAACATTTTATGTAGCTCTTTATAGTAAAAAAATCTCTTTAAGTGGTTTACATGTAAACTTTTAAAAAACGTTGTCCTAAAAGCTAAAGCAGTGTACAAAACAGAAAATTAAAATGCTAAGAGTTTGAGTTCAGAAAAGCCTGGGCAAACATTTAGGTTTTTAAGAGGTGTTTAAAAGTCATTACTTTAGGAATGGCTGTTTATTGTTTACTGCCCTGATACCTTTTGATGAGGGGTGATTCATAAATATCTTAATACATATAAATAAATAAATTTATAAATCATCCTAATAAAGAAGTGATAACATGTGACTTTTACCTGTTTGTATCTCTGTGAAATCTGCAATTCCAAAAACAACTTCCAAGGTTCACAGATCTTCCCTTAGTGGGTGGTGCAGACACACTATTCTGCATAGTGCTTTTTGTAGCATAGGGTTAGGGGCAGTGGGGTAAGTTTGGAGAACCAGCACAGGAGGTGGGGGGGGGCAAGTGGCCTGAATAAGTTTGAAAGCTGCTGCTGTAACACTTTCCCCCTTCTGCTGTGTGCCTGTAGACAGTGGTGTTCCCGAAGGAGCCATCTGTGTCATTACGACGGCTGCGATTGACGTGCACCACCCCAACATCTCCTCCGACCTCTTCACGGTGGACGTGCCCATGAAGATTATGGGGAGCAACGGGACTTCCGCCAGCGTTGCCTCAGGCAGTGCCTCCAGGTCCACAGACAGCTCCGTCACCAGAGCCCAGAGTGACAGCAGCCAGACCTTTGGCTCTTCCACGGACTGCAGTACAACCCGGGAGGAGTCCTCTGAGTATTGCCCCTTGGAGAGGGCTTGCCATGTAGCCAAACGTGATCAGGTAGATTCTTCTTCCACCCACAGCAGAGTCAACAATGCCGTGGTGCAAGAACTGCTGTCATCCTTGTCCGATGATTCCTGCTTGACACAAAAAGGACTGGATCCGGTCAACCTTAAACTGCCAAGCCCATCAGGGTCTACCAAAGCCAGCCCAGAACTGGAGCACCGAGTGAACATTTACAACAGGAAGAACCAAGAAAGCTTTGGTATGTTTCAGATAAAGCCGGTAATCCACTTTCAGCAGAATACGCCTGTGATCGACAAGTATACGCCTTTGGAATCCAAAGAGCAAAAGTTAAACAGGGTCCCAGATTCATAGTCCTTTTGCTGCTATTGGGGTTATAAAAAAATAAAGGAGAGGCTTTGCAAGGGAGACATACTAAAGCTTTAAATGGGGCTGCCGGAACCAACCCCTGGGTGGGTATTTTGCGTGGATCGGAATGAGTTAAATATTCTTTTAAATAGGGGGGGAAATGCATGAGTTGTGAGAGAGCCAGCACGGAAAATTTGACATTTCTACCACCTGAAGTCCTAGTTGAAGGGATGGGGGCAGAGACCCATCATGTTAAAACAATGACCTCAAAGATGTATAGATTCTTAATGCGTTTTTTTTAAAGAAGCAGACACAAATCACACAGTTTTTAAGGAATTCTGGACAATCTTCTATCAGGTCAGGTTTCAGCAGGGTATATGATACAAGCAGATGTAAACTTCTCTCCTCCTCTTTCTTACAATCTCCCTTTATATGTGACAACTGCAAACCCCTTTGTATAAAGATGGCAAATATTTTTGTTCTTCCTGAGGAGAAAACAAAAACATTTTTCAGGGAGTACTTTGAATGATGCAGATCAAAGAAATTTTAAAAAAGTGATCTTTTTATTTTTAGCATGAACTTTGGGAAGAAAATATTTTGACAAAATTAAAAGTTGTCGTCTCCAAGACAACAGAGTAAAAATGGACATTTTACAAATATGGTTTTAATTAAAAAGATTTTTTTTATATTAAAAAATCCTAAATGCATGATGCTTCATTTTTAAAAAAATACTTTAAGCCTACTTTGGTGTGATATGTAGTGGGCGGGTGTGGGTGTTGTTGCCGAAAGCAGCAGTGCTCCCCTGTGGCCCTCACATGGTCCTGGGCTACAGTTCCACCATCCCATTGGCCACGCTGCCTGGGAGGATGGGAGTTTTGTCCCACATCAGCATCTAAAGAGCCACAGGTTGGCCCCTCCTGCGCTAAAGCAGGCAATGTCATTTCATGTTAGACATTTGTTTAGCTCTCCTTTCTACATTAGGGGGTGGGGTCTTTTGAGACCATTTGATGTGGCTTATTATTCTTATGGAGGGAGGAGTGGTAGCCATGTAAATCTTATGCCTATCATGTCTTGGAGGAGAGATCTATCAGCAAGCACTGGCCATGGCTCCTTATTCCCAAGTTCAGAAGTGGTGGGTGCTGACATGACAGAACCAAAATGTGCCCCCTGAGCAACAATAGGATTGGTATCTGCATGCTGAGGGTAATCCAGAAATTTGCAGAAATACAGCAATTTATTTTTTTTAAGGAGGGAGGGATAACAAAGAAAAAACCCAAACTTCCCAATAAGGAATGCTCAGAAGCCACAGACAGTTGAGTGCTACTTAGAAAAGAAAAATGGAGGCTGGAAGGAATAACTGGGACGGGGGCATTGCTGGCTGGAACCCTGAACTGGAGCACTCCTATTGAAAGGCAATGATACACCACCACATTTTGTTGCAGGCCCCATTTTTCCGAATTCCTGCACAGGGATGGCTGGGGGGCAACAGTGGGGCAGGGTTGTCTCCATAACCTGCTTCCCAGATGCTTCTGGCTGTTGGAAACAGGAAGCTTGAAAGTGAATGCCTGGTCTGATCCAAGGGCACCCTTCTTACGGTGAGAATGTGAACAATTTGTTTTCAAAATATTGGTAGATAAGGAATTATTTTATACCCACTAACTCCAGATAGTTACCAAGCCTATGAAGACTACCTAGCTGCTTTTCCCTCTAAATAACACATGGCTAGAAGGATTGATTCCTCTTCTTATAAGGGCAGTAGTATTTGTTTTCTTGGTCTGAAGGCAGATGAGGCCACCAGCTTGCTGAAGCTAAGTCTGTTCTGTGTCTGGATGGCAGCTGTCTCCTTGTGCATTTCTGACACTGTATTTTCAAAATCATTTCTTGTGGGTGACCTGCAGATCTCCCACTCATTTCTTTGACCTTTACATCTTCTACTTCAGGAACCAAGATGAACCAATATAGGAAAATAGGAAACTATCATAAGTCTACAAAGCTCAGCATTGTCCATACTGAATAGAAGCAGCTCTTTGGGGCTTCAAACAGGGACAATGCCAGATCAGCAAGGATATTATATTGAGCCAACTTGTGCTTCACCACCTCGCACAGAAAGTATGTGATACCCGCAGCTGAATCCAATGGTATTTGCTGTATCTTTGCCTGGAGGTACAAAGTGGTTGTAACTTTGATGGCGGTTATCCCCTTCCTCTGCAAGACAGATGCTATTTTGAAGATGGGAGCTGCACATGAAGCTGAGAGGTCTTGAGCAAGTCAAAAGCTAGACCGGCAGATGGGCTCAGAGGCTCAGCAGCTGGAGGCAGTATCTGGCAATGCTCCAGTCTGTCCCCTATGGCGGTTATTATTTTTAATACTTCTGTAAAGCAGCTAAAAGGGATCCTGCTTTTCCAGTCACATCAGGACACCGGTAGCTTGTTTTTATGCTGTTGACAGTGATCTGTGCTTAGCATTAGGAAGTGCTGAAGTGTGTGTTGGGCTGGGGCTTGCGTAAAGATGGAGGCTGGGGCAAAGCTATAGCTATCTCTGCTCCTTTCTTATGGTGGAGGACTCAGGTGGTTTTTTGCCAGTTTTTATTAGGAAAAAAATCTGTTTATGCTGGATTCACACAGGGAAAATCTGATTCCTGTGGCTCTTTTGTAAATTACTGTAAATTCCACATACTGTTGTTTAATTGTTTTTACTCATAAAAATGACACAAAACAGAAATACACAAAAATCAGTTACTATAAACACAAATCAATAAAAACTTTTTAAAAACAAGCAAATGAAAGACGCAGCAGATCATGCGCCACCAAGAGAAGCCACAAATACTAAGAAAAGCCCTTCAAGCTAAGGGCCAAAAGTCTGGGTAAAAAGGAAAGTTCCTGCCTTGCACCTAAAGCTAAATGAAGATGGGCTAGGTGAGCTCTGGAGAGAGCATTCCACAGGCAGGGAGCCAGCAGGGAGAAAAGGTCCATACTTGTGTTGCCGCCCTCCAGACCTTCTGAGAATGACCATGCAGAAGGGCCTCAGGTGACCAGTACAGGGTCCAGGCTGGTTCGCGTGGCTAGAAGCGACCCTTGAGGTATAGGTCAAAACCAGCACTTTAAATTCATCCCAGAAATTAACTGGCAGTGCAGTCAGGCCAGGATTAGTGAGCAACCTCCTGTCAAAATTCTGCATCAGCTGCAGTTTCCAAGTCATCTTCAACACATTGCTGTAATCTAACCTAGAGGTTACCAGAGCATAGACAACAGAAGTTAGGTTAATCCCTGTCCAGATAGGGGTGTAGATGCCCACCAACCAAAGGCCACGAGCCTCAAGTGATAGTGATTGACCCAGCAGCACACCCTTAGCTACACATCTGCTCCTTCAGAAGGACTTGCAGGCCACATCCCATCCATGCAGTCAAAATAAATTAAAAAATTGCCCAGTAGCACCTTAGAGACCAACTAAGTTTGTTCTGGGTATAAGCTTTCGTGTGCACAGCTACCTACCTGAATCCATCCATGCAATTTAGGGAACCACCCACTAACAGTGCCTCTGCCTTTTCTGGATTAAGCTTCAATTTATTCGCTCTCATCCGGTTGAAGACAGGCCAGTGGACTGCCATTATAAAGGCAGAGAATTATAAAGAGAGAAGAGAATCATTTTTTCTCCCTTTTAATTTTCAGCTGATGTCTCATGAAGCTGGAAGGAATTGCTGATATAAACTGGCTGAACACAGATGGAGCATTATATAGCTTTCTATACAGTGGAACCTCCTTGCACAATATCAATGATTCCTTTCATAGCTCACCTACACATTCTGTAACTAAATGCCTCCAATAGCCTACCAGGGAATATTCCTATCTAGCTCCTAGTGGCTTGAATCATTTATCACAGCCAGATACAGCTTTGCAGGACCAACACCATTTATTGCAAACCATTCACAAGCTTCCTTTGGGCCTACATGATTGTTTTGTCTGACTCCTTTTTGCTTCTTGTCTCTTTCAACTTTGTGGTTTCTTTATCTTCTGAAGCCTAACCACCACAGACAGGCTGTCTCTAAGGCTTCTGTTCTGGTTATAGCAGCTAACCATCCACCCCCACCCCCCACCTCCGTGTTATGTTGGCTGTCTAATCACGTCACAATCAGATTAGATCTGCTAATAGGGTGGAAGTCACAACTCCCAGGATAGGCACCAGATCTGCCCAACTGTCATCTATTTATTAAAGATGCAGATCATGACAGAGCAGGAGATAGGAGCCCAAGGTAAAATAAAACCTAGTGACCATGCAGGCTTGGTGGAGAGGAAAACCAAGATGACAACATGCTATCCACAGGTTAAGATTTTTCCCAAGGGCCTACAACAGACCTCTGGGCCTGCAATCCACAGCCTATTGTTAAAGCAGCTGCTGTATTGTGAGATGCACTATTTTAAGGAAGCTAGTGGCTCTAGTGATATTTTATTAAAGGAACCAGGGGAGGCCTATCACTATAAATAAATAAATAAATAAATAAAGCACATACAGTGGTACCTCGGGTTACAAACGCTTCAGGTTACAAACTCCGCTAACCCAGAAATTGTACCTCAGGTTAAGAACTTTGCCTCAGGATGAGAACAGAAATCTTACGGGGGCAGCGGGAGGCCCTATTAGCTAAAGTGGTACCTCAGGTTATGAACAGTTTCAGGTTAAGAACAGACCTCCAGAACGAATTAAGTTCTTAACCCGAGGTACCACTGTACAGTGGTGCCCCGCAAGACGAATGCCTTGCAAGACGAAAAACTCGCTAGACGAAAGGGTTTTCCGTTTTTTGAGTCGTTCCGCAAGATGAATTTCCCTATGGGCTTGCTTCGCAGGATGAAACGTCTTGCGAGTTCTTGCGAGTTTGTTTCCTTTTTCTTAAAGCCGCTAAGCCGCTAATAGCCGTGGTTCGCAAGACGAAAAAACCGCAAGATGAAGAGACTCGCGGAACGGATTAATTTCGTCTACAGGCACCACTGTATATATTCTAATTTTTTCTAATTTTTCCAAGTGTTAAGAGCTTCTGTTTCAACAAGAGAACAATTGTTGCATTTCCAAGCAATACTTGGAGATTAGCAGCTAAGTCTTAGAATTCTAACTACACTGAAAATGTGAACAAAGCAAATAAACCCAAATGGTGATTGACTGTACCAGTGCATGCAAGTATATTGTGGTAAATAATTTTAGTTCTTCCCTTCCCCCACCCCAAAAAGCCCCAAACTCAAGAACTGTAAGACATATTGTTTAGAAAGGTAGATTCAACATGCCATGTATATCATAAGCAGTCATATCTTCAAACTTATGGGGGGAGGGAACCAGGAGCAAAATCCATTCTGGAAGTGGAAGCTACCTTCGTCTTTAATCTGTTTAGTCTCACGTGCTAGAACTGCAGGACAGTGCAAAATCTGTCTGCATAATTTTGACATTTTGACACAATATAATGTTTTATTATAATCAGTGCATGCAACAAAATGCATTCGCCAAGCAAGCTTTCTACATTCTGCTTACACAGGAAATCCCAAAGGGTTACCAACATTAATGTCATTTTAAGACACGTGGTTTGCTCATGTTTTTCTGTGTTCAGTCCTTGTCCACTGAACAACCAACAGTTGGTTAGTTGTTCCAGCACAGATCAGTATATTTCAGGGCATAGTAGATACATGTCAAGGCATGGGAAAAAGTGCCAAGTGGGGTCCTGCAGGGT